GTCAGACGACCTTGACTTTCCAATGCTAGTCCTGCGATCGGGGAGACGTTAGACAATTTATAAAAATCTCTCTTTTAAGTCTCAGTTTCCCTTTTTGGAAAATGAGAGCAATAATGGAAGATTAACTGAAGTACATACCTGTCTAAACCCCTTAGCCCAATGCTGGCAAATCACACACATAACAATATACAAAGATCACATACTTAACTTTTGGAAAATATGTAGGTCTTTTCCCCCTAAAGGAAAGCAGTATTAATTAACTTCATCTTTTGTGTGCTCCCCCTACACATGTTCCATAAAATGTTCTCCACTGGATTGATACCTAATCAGCATTTTTTTTTGGTGCTATAATTTATTTCTCTTCTAGTATCAGAGACTTCTTCCCCTTTAAGTCTCAATATTCACTGCACTTAGAATTTTCACAGTATCCACTGTGCCATTGTTCAGTCATATAATTACACAGAGAAATGACTCTACGTCTTTGACACCGTCTATGATAAATTTTATTTGGGGAGTTGAATTGAAACTACTTCATAAAATGGAATTTTGTGTGGAGAACTGCAAAAGAAGAACGTGGAAATAATGGTCATTATTACCACCAGCCTACTTGCCTTTGATTATTCAGAATTTTGCAGTCAAGGTCAGTTGGGGAGCACGTTACGTGCAATGAACAGCAGCGTGTAGACCGCTTGATTTGATATTCCCAAGTCACAAAGTGGAATGATCCGGTCCTGAGACAGTTCAATAGGAAACCCAACAGTTAGACAAGAAAGAAACAAAGCTGACCTTTCCAGTGTGGGGGTTCTGAGATAAAAGAGCCTGAAGCAACCGATTTGCCTGCATCTAATGGAAAAGACAATAAAGAGGAGCAAGGAGACAGAGCCAAGGAGACAGCCGCATTCTCTACACTGAATTTATCTTCCCATGGCCTCACTTACTACAGTGCCGGCGTCCTCCACACTGTGTTCCATTAAAATAAGGGTGTGTCGGGGGAAGGAGGTGGGAAGGGATAAACTGGGAGTTAAGATCTGCAGATACTCACTGATATATAGATAATAGATAAACAGCAAGTCACGCTGTACAGCACAGGGAACTATACTCAGTATCTTGTAGTAACTTACGGTGAGAAAGAATATGCAAATGAATGTGTGTGTGCATGTGTGGCTGAAGCATGTGCTGTGCACCAGAAACTGACTCCACATTGTAAACTGACTCTACTTCAATAAAAATATATATTCATACTTACAAAAAATACGGGGATGTGTGTTTATTCTGCTGTTAGCAGATCAGGAGGCCTCCCTGAGATGTCTGCTTTAGCGTCATTTCACATGGTCAGTCCAGCCCGGTACACTTTCTATTGTGGCGAGATTAGTGGGGGGAAAGAATAAATGTCTATAATATATATACACATTTTATGATAGAACCCTACTTTTCTGTGGTTGGGTGCCTCAATTTGCCAAAATATTTGTTGAACATTTCCATAAACCTACTTTTAAGATAAATGGTTCAGAAGATTTTATTGCACATTGAATTTACTTATTCTCAAAACAACTCTTTCAGTATGTAAATACTTACATTTGACTTTTTACCACTTGAGTCCAGTCTAGTCTTTGAAATAATTAGGGCTCATGAGCTCCACTCATGCAGGCAGCAGAAAGCTAAGGAAACCAAAATTACAAACCCGAAATTCAACATAGAGTAAGGCAGAGATATTTCATTTGTTAATGACACTCCGACCCCAGAAAAATGCAGAAACATTTACACTTTCCACGCTATTTTTGGAATTGCTGTCTCTCCCAAAGCCCGTCCATGGAGCCCCAGTTTAAGAAAACACAGCAGATCCATGCGTCCCCTCCCAGAGGGCGCCGGCGAGCCTGCGAAGGATGCCTCCCCGCAGCACTTCACGGCCGCCCGTGCCCACGGAGCCCAGGCGGGGGGCAGGAGGGGCGCCGAGCCCGGCCACCCTCGCTTCAGGGCCAGCGTCCGTCCTGCTTGCTAGCACCCGTCCTCAAACTTCTTCACAGAAACTGTATCAGGTAAAGAGAAGGAAAACCACAAACCCTTTGCCGGCTAAACCTTGATTTTTTTCAAAATCCAGCTGTCCTCACGGTCCAAAGTGCAGTTGCAGGCCACTTCAAGCTCTGCTGAGCGGTTCCCTTGCCTGCGGTCAATTCGCTTCCCTTTCTCCCCCGGTAAAAACCCGCGGGTAGGTTAAGGCCCTTGCTGGGTCCTGAAAAAAGAACCCTCATCAGCAAAACCTGGTATTTATAAACCCAGCTTGGAAGCAGTGAGAGAACTCCAGGGCTATACTTCAGGGGAAAAAATACGTTTTTTTGTAATATGCTTCCATGCGGAGTGAGCACTATGAAAGACTGTGACTGTTGTGTGGTGTAGACCTCTGACCTCCGCGTGGGTCTTTCCGGTCTGGGTTATTAATATTAACCATTACAGCCATTACAGCGTACTATCAACTTGTGGGTTGTTCTTTTCACTTTAAAACACTGGGTTTTAATTTCATGCTAGATTATTACGTGGAGGCCCAGCATGTCTGAACACCTTCTGAGGTTAAGTAAGAGATTTTGAATTGTTTCCAGAGCATCTTGTTTCTGCGGGACATGCCACATCGGTAGCACAGAATGCAGAACTTATCACACTGCCTCCCTGAGTCTGGGGACCTCTCCGGCATCCTTCCGAGAAAAGGAGCACCGCCTTGTCCAGTGGCTGTTGCTGCGATACCTGTCGTATCTGACAATTTCTGAACCTACTCTCCTTTAAATAAAAGAAATGTTGATAACATAAGGAGCCTGGGCTAGAATCGGGTGAGTTACAGAATTATAAGAAAACAAACAAACAAAAAACAAACAAAAAAATCCCAACCTTCTCCAGCTTCATAGTTCTATCATACAGCGTGGATACAGATTTCTTAAATCATGGCTGAGTTCTTAAAACTCAAGGTTCAAGTGAGTTTTGATAGAAGGCTTAAAATATATGTGGCACCCCTGCGTCTTCTCAGCTCATTCTGAACGAACTGCTCCAGAGAAAGACGTCGTCTTCTCCGAAGATGTTCCTAAACATGATGGATGCTTTGCCAGGAAAATGCACTCACGTCTCCCCCAGGAATATGTGTTCTTCCTGCAAAGTGTTTGTTGCCTGATCTAGCTGCCGGAGGCTGCCCTCTGACACAACCGTAGAACAGAGCTTCAGGGGCACTCGTGTTACACACACCCGGACGTTTGTGAGTTCACACGGACAGCTTTCTCATTATCTGCAGCGGGGCCGGGGCACGCCGGAGCTGCGTGAGCCACGTCACGTTTTCATTCATGTTGTCTTGGCAGACGCCTCCGACGACAGTCTGCTTTCTCACAGGCGGATAGATATGATTGCAGCACCGTTATCAGGGCCACCATTAGCACCACTGTCCTGTTTCTATTGCTACTCATCAGACACCTGAGATGAATCAAAAACCCTAGAACAAATAAAACAAGGGCCTTGAATGCACATCCTGCAGAGCACGGCATCGCGCCTACCAGCCGGAGGAGACCAGTTCTTTCTGAGTTCTGCGCCCAGTGCTCGGTTCCCTGTGGCATCCACACCAATGGCCCTTGGGAGGAGTTTAATCAGCAAAAACCTTGGGAGTTACATGGGAAAATCTTGGCACTCACGTTCATGCCCAGTGGAGGGTCTGTTTTCCAGTCAAGCAGCAAAGATGTGTAGAGCACACTGTTTTTCACTCACAGGGTTGACGTGTCTTGAAAATTTCAGAACAAGGACTTTAGAAACAGGGGTTTCTACTAAAAGGAAAAAGTGGGTGTCTTGGTGAAAAGGAGGAAAGAAATGAGAGTGGAAGAGCTTTCCCCATCACAGGATGAGTTTGAAACTGTGTTTCAGCACTTACAAGCATAGCCTTGGGTGAGCTACCCAGCCTCGCTGAACAGTTCTTTTCCATTTGTAAACAATGACTCAGCCTTCTGCTGCAGGAGTGCTACAAGGAAAAGTGTTGACCTCCTGTCGGTAAAGGAGCACGCGGCTCCCTGGGTGCTCAGCAGTCAGGGCCATTATCTGTGCTCAGTTAGTTTGCTGATCCCCTGGAGATCCTAGGAGGCAGAAAGGTGGGGCAGGACCTGTTAAGCCTGCCGGGATATTCACTTAGAAGCAAAAATAAATGATTATGAATTCACAGACCAAAGAGTCATCAAGGGGGAGGGGAGGGGTGAGTAGGAATAAAAATATTCTCTATGAAACCACAGTGGTGGACATATGTCATTATACATCTGTCCAAACCTACAGAACGTAAAACGCCCAGAGGGAACCTAACATAAACTATGGACGCCGGGTGGTGAAGGTGTGTCAGTGCAGGTTCGTTGTAACAAAGGCACCCTCTGGTGGGGCGTGTTGACCATGGGGGAGGCTGGTGGGTGGGCAGGGGGTATATGGGAAATCTGGTCTTGCCTCTTAACTCTGCTGTGAATCTAAGGCTGCTCACAACAGATTCCATTCATGGAGGAAAAGACCCAAATGATCCGCACGGGCCTTTCATACAGCTGCATGTGTAGTAGGACTCTGTGCGTCAGCCCTGCTCAGACAGAAAGGAATTTGAGTAGCTTCCTAAAGACAAATTCAAATTCAAATTTGGATGTTCCAAGGAGTCTTTTATCAGTTGGCCTGCGATTATGGCAGAATTTAAAAAATACAGAGGAGGAAATTTGCATGCAGGTGAAATCAGGGCAGGAGAATGCATTTTTAGCCCTGTGTGCATTTGTGTGAAATTTGCATGCCACTGCTAAGATCTTGACACAGATTTTCCTCCAAACTCCTTAAGAGAGAAAACAATGAAAGAAATTTGATAAGATTCTCAAGTCATAATGTGTGTCCACGAAATGAAAATAAACTAGTTGCTACTCAGGGGCTCAGACGTCCCTGGTCTCTCTAGGCGCTCAGAAAGAAAGGGCCAAGAGATGACAAACTAGGAGGACTACGCATTTGGATGCAAGACAAGACACTGGCCAAGGTGAAGAGCTCGGACAAACCCATGTTCTTTAGAATTTCTTTCTTATCTTAAAATTGGACAACTTGTCTGTCCAGGATGAAAGAGAGGTGAGTTGAGACAACTCTGTCTCCAAAATATAGACCTACAGAAAGAGACCTACAGCAGCCAGGTTGGGTTTTTTAAATGTAATCTCCAAATTAACAAGGCAAGGAGGCGCTTGACAGTTTTGCTTTTCCCATAGAGACCTTCTCGATTGCCCTCTGCTTTTTCTTATCAAAATTGTGTTCTCCATCCAGCCTGCAGCACAAGAATGACCCAGTTATGAAGCGCCCACTCCAACTGTGTGGATCTGCTGTAGAAACTCATTAGACAGGACTTCGCTCATTTAAAGTCGGGGGTAAATAAGTCAAGGGATGGCTAAACTTCTCCTTGGCGCTACCCAGGGATAGAATGGTTTGCTAAGCAAGTGAATCTTGACAATGAGATTCCAAGGGAAATGCCTGCCTGCTTCACAAAACAAGCTGCTGAAAAGTACATTAGAACCTCAAGCTACCAATTAGGTGCGGCTCACGTGGATGGTGAGGCACAGACTCAGACAGACGTCGAAGCAGTTCGGGCCCCACTGCGTGTTGGCCAGGTGACCTCGGGCAAGCCCTTCATCCCTCCAAACCCTGGTTTCCTCCTTGAAAATCAAGATGAAAATATCTCAGCTGAGCGAAGGTGTCTAAAGCCCCGAACGGATATCAGGTTCTGAGATGGGGTGGTTACCTTTCCCCCTTCTCTGTCTTCCATTGATTCC